CGTTCTCTTTGATTTTATTCGATGCGTTATAACATGCATTATGTAGGATTTGTTTCTAACAAGTTTCGCCAGGAATATGAAGAATGAATAAGCTAGTAAAAAACCCTGTTATTATTAGCTTGCTCTTACATCGAGCGTGACATTTTATATAAACCTTTTTTATTGAATGTAACTTTCTTGTACCCGGTTTTTTTCTTATATCGCGATCTGTTTTACGTGTCTTATCATCTTTCCACGCCGCGTAGTCTCATAACTACCGAGATACAAACCGTATTCTCCGACGGCGTTATTATATCGATAAACCTTTTCTTAACGAACGGAATTAATCTAGAACTGATTTAGGGTCCAAGAAAAACCCCCACCTTCTATATGCTCAACTTTTATCTTATTACGGGTTCCCATTCCCTGATATCTCAGCTCGTACGTCAGGTTTTTGTCAGCCGATGCGAGTTGCGCGCTGTGAATTTATGCGACCCTTTGGCGGCAACTTATTGACCCAGTGTTCATTATTGGTGTTGGGAATGTTGAATCTTAATTAGCTTTTCTGGCAAGCCCTTCCTTTTTACTAGACGCATTCCATGATACTTCAGTTCCTAGTAGTCATTATACAAGTCTCTGGAAGTTGGTGAACGAGAGAGGTTCAGGAGCTGCAATGCAACTATCGTGAATAAATTAGCACACTTCAGAAAATCATACACTATTTATAATATAGTATTATTGCATGTTGAAATATTATATGACATATCATGTTCACTTTATCTGGTTTTGTTGTAGTATGCCCAATATCTTACATTGATACTATAAAGAATGAAGAGCGGAACACATTACGCACATGATACATCTTTCATGTGAGACATATTATACATCAAAATATAGTAACAAGAAAGGGTAAAGGAAAGAGAAAAAAAGAAAAAGAAGAAAAAAATAAATTAAATATTAAAAGCGATTAAATAATAAGTACTACAAATCCTAATGTCCGAGAGTTCAATCTTAAAGAATTATCTTCCCAGAAGACTATTCCTTTTTTCTTTAAAGAACGTATGCTACATTTACTTTGCGGCGTTCTACTAATAATTTATACTAAAAAAAATTAATATTTACTTTTTTAAATTTTTAAAAGGAGAAAAATGAAATAAAAAAAAATACACAAACAAAACTACTCATTGCATAAACCATCCATTACTATCTGATCCCAAAAGTAATTCCTGATTCTGAGAAGCAACGAGCACTGGGTCGATTACCGTTGGTAGATGATGAGGTACATGTAATGGAGTAGATTCTGCAGATGACACTTTCGAATGAGCCGAATGAGCAGCATTGTACGAGGGTGACGCCTGGGAATGCGTCAGTGACGGTGTAGCTACAGGCGACGTACTGATGCTGATAGGGCTAATGGTTCCACTGCCTGACCACATGTTCTGCTGATTTTGATTTATTTGATTGAGCAAATAAATTTGATCAGAATCCCAGTAAGTACTATTAGGATCTATAGTACCACCGTTTATGTCTATTGATTTGGGATTGTTGATCGACATCATTGGGTTATATTCTGAGTTAGGCACTGTCATGGGGGGAGTGAGTGGAATGTTTCCCATGGAAGAAGTGAGAAGCGAACTGTTCTCATCAAGCGGCGTGTTCATGAAGTCGTAGGCCGCGTGTCCGGCATCAGATGTAAACGTCGGTGGCATGCTTTGATCTTCTGGTAGAGCAAACAACGAGCGCTCGTGGAACTGAGGTGTTTGATTTAGCAATGATAAATTACTTGAAATTATATGAGCATTTGTTGCGTGATGGTGTGAGCCTGGTATTCCGGTCGGCTGACGACGGCGCGGCATCTGTCGTCGTTTGACATAATTAAGACCGTTAACCTGATCCATTGCTCCAGTATTAGCACCTTGATTGAACACGACAGGAATAGCTGACTGACGCGCTTGTTGCGCAGAAAAGGCCACTTCCAGAGCCGCTACTTTGTCACATAGTTCCGTTGCTGCACTGTGGTCAACACAGATTCTAAGAACCGCAAGCGTGCTCAACAAGTAGTCGTGAGCTGCTTTAGCGCACAACACATCTGGAGACGTCATATTCACGAGGTGGATCATTGAAGCGGAAACAAGACAATATACGCCATAATTTCCTCCCCTCAACGGATATTGAAACACAAGCGGCCCCCATTTTTCGTACACCAATTGTGCGATTTGTGAAATGGTGTTTGCGGCGGTAGAGCAGATGTTCAAATGGTGGTGGTTTGGTTGCGCTGCTCTATTGAAATTGGTCACGTATGGCCGATGCAACAGTATTGTGATTGTGTGGTAAAGAATGTTCAGAAAACCGGAGAAATGAGATTCAATAGGTTGAACGACCGGGCTGGTGGAAGGATCTGATGGCTGAGTACACTGAAGCCGCTGAGGAAGCGCTGCATACCAGGCTTCGAGTGCCTGGTCAAGCGTCTGTAGTTTGGGATTGGAATTCCATGGCTGAAGCGGAGAACCAGAACCAGCTGGAGCAATAATTGTCATTACGCTTGCGAGTATTTTAGAGAGGCGTACAAGGTGTACAAAGTTCGTTTGAACATTGAATTCTTCCTCGTCGTCGCCATATTCTTCTTTCAACGGTAAATCTATGTCAGCCTGGCTGAGAGATATGACAACATCTCGTCCTACATTGATAAATGATGGTAAGATAAGTTTAGTTCCTTTTTGTATAAAGTTGTGTATATATAATCCGCTTAGGTAAGCCTGCAGTGATTGCGTAAATGCATACCTTGTGCTCCACTCATGAATTGGTCACACAGAAAGCAGACTTGCCACACTCGCTTTCTGGCAATCATATCTTCATTGGAGATGGGATAACTGTATTTGTCAAAACTCCTGTTTAGGCCTGGGTCTTGTACCATGCGAGTGATGGTCCCAAAGTGCACCCAGCTTCTGTAAAAAAAGCCAGGCCGACGAATTCCCTCCTGGTATTTCAACATAAGTATTAAGGCTTGTACGGTGGACAGCCTTGGTGTGTCAAAGAATTCGTCTTGCAAGTCTGGAGAATGCATAAAGCCCGTGTGAGTGTCGTACAATATGTTGTGCATGCATAGAATGCACATAGAAACATGCGAAAAAATTTAACA